CGAGATACGAGTATCTCTTGGCGGCAAAGTGTTGGCCAATTAGCAAGTGCAACTGCAATTGGTCGACACTGAGCCGGGTCAAGATGCGGCAGCAGATTCAGCACGTTCTGGCCATGTAAATTGCAACCAAGTGTCATGTGCCTGTCCTGTCCTGTCCCGTCCTGTTCTGTTCCGTCCTGTCTTGGCCCTTTTCGTACTCAACACTTGCTGCTGGTTTTAATCCAATTGAGTTGCCAGAGAGCCTTATTAAATTATTTATAACCAAGCCAAGGAAAGGCCTGCCTTGCGATAAAATGGTTTACAGTTTTTATATTTGATGAGCTTTTAAATTGAGTCGAGTTAGTGACACTTTGCAAGGACATTTCATTGTCAACAGGCCGTACTTGTTACATCTAAATTAATTTTTTGTGCATCCGAAATTTGGGCTGTATTTCACAGATGATAGCTACACTCGGAACATCGGTTCGAAAGAGATTGCATTTCAATTATTTAAAGTTCGATTGGCCGGGATTTTTTGTGCATGCATTTGGCAAATGAATTTATCTATTTGTTTTCCGCACAATTGCCTTGCATTTTGGAAGGACGTTTGATTGATAGGCCACTGAAATCTGGCACTGTGCACACACTTGATTTCATATTTAATTTAAGCCTTTCGCAAATAGAAAACTTTCAATTGGGCAATTTAATTAAAATGTTGTTTATGCTAGTGGGCCTTCGCTTTTTTCTCTCTCTTTCCAACTTGTTTGGGTAAATTATGGGAAATTTGGTAAAGAGGGGCATTTCCATAGTTTTTCGAGCAGCGTTTATGTCCTTTCTATGCAAATGTCTTTTGGCCTGGAGATGGAGTGTGGGAAATCAGCGTCATAAAATTGTATGTTGTCTTCCTTTTTGGCAGGGCAAATATGGCGACAGAATAAAGAAAGGCGAGACGGGAAAAATTCAATGGTCCTTGCCTTGGGAGACACACATTGCGAGGGCCGCATATTTCACGTTACTTATCTTTATCATTGCCAACTAATTTCACAGCAAACCAGGATGAGGATGGGGATGGGGATGGTGGCCAATAGACACACTTACGCCCTGGCTAGTAGGAGTACGAAATATTTGTTTATTTCTAGTTCATATCTCTCATGTGCGCCACACTTGTTTCCCTTTCATTTCGCATTTGTTCTTTGCTTTTGTGGCATGTTTGCGCCATTTTGCGTTTTTGTTTATGTTTAGCTGGGTCATTGCGTCCATTCCTTATGGCATACGGCATACATATGTGTACATATGTGTATCTCTGTCTGTAAGGGTTTCGGGTGTAAGGTCCTTGCTTTAAGTGTTTTTATTGTCTTTTGCTTAGGGTTAAGTTTTGTCATTGCCACGCTTTGTTTATGGCCACCCATGCCGCTCTCCCTGGACCCTGCCATCGAGCTAATCCTTTTGTTTTATGGCGTTTAATTTATTTTTAAAGCTTTCTGTTTCTGCCGCACAAACTTGTTTATAGGCCACAAACAGACTAGCAGGCAGGCAGGCTAAAGGAAAAAAAAAAATGTATTTGCTTAGCTTACTTTCCCCGACACTCGGAAAATATCCAGGCCTTAATTGAATTTTGTAGGTAAAAAACAGCAATTTGAGTAATTGAATCAAAGGTGGTTTTCAAAGGTGGCTGTGCAATTAATAAACATATTAAATAAAAAATATGGTATTAATTAAGCTTTTTCGTGCTCTACAAATTGATATTTCTTTCAGTTAGAATTTCTCTCTCTGTGTTTCTTTGCTGACTGTTTGCCCCATGAATATTGCAAGCCCTCCCGTGTTCTTTTCCCCCCACCTGCAAAACATGCAACAGGCCATGTCCTGTCACAATAATTGGCTCTGGCAAACAAAACAAATGCTGAAGAGTACAGAAACTAAACAGATATCAACGCAAAGCAGGAGTAAAGAGCACAACATGCTCAAGTAATTGGCTACAAAACTGCAACATAACAATAACAATTCAATATGTCGGCAACAGATGCCCGAAACCATATACCCACCCACAGAAAAATCCAACACCCACGCGCTAGTTTTGGCCGCCTGCAATTGTAAGCTTGGCCTAATTGGCCCTCATTACATGAAAGAGTTTTGCGTGGGGAATGCTAAGCGCAAATAAGACTCATCTGCGTGTGTGGTAATGAGTACGAATATGGCCACGCCCCGAACATCTGCTTATGGCCATCGAGGGACACTGGAGATGTTCGAAGTTTGGTCAGCTTTTTACACTCAGGGAAAATAATACCTAAGAATGTACCCCAAAAATATTAAAGAAAATCTTTGGAAAATATTTTTGAAAATAGAGAGAACTTCCTTTCCTTTCTTCTCTTTGGTTTTGTTTTCAATGTACAAGAATAAGGTATCAATAAATGTTTCTTAAAAGGACTTTTCTGATTCTCTTTTCTAGTAGCTTTTCCCGCAGTGACTTTTCTATTTCTATTTCTATCTGAAGAGGTACCACGTTGTGGAATTGTCCTGTCTAGGTGATGATTGTATTTGCCCACCTATATTAAAGCGAGTTCGATTAATCGCATAAGGCTGGCTTCTACTAGTATGTGTGCTTAGAATTCCGTTTGTGTGTGAGTTTGTGTTTGTGTTTGTGTGCGCGCGTGTAAGAAGTTGGCCAAATAATTGTTTTCCATTATGCGCACACAAAAGAGGCGAATGCGACCTTGAGTTAATGGTTGAGATGTTAACTTAAAGTGCTTTTACCCAGCCAGTAAAAGTTTCGGTAATTGGGCATTCAGTAAGCTGGGGGCTTTAAGAGGCTTTCAAGCCATTCATGATTTGATTTGATTGCAAAGTGAAGCATCAAACAAGGTTGAAATGAGGCACGACTTGTGAGAGCCAAACGGAATATAGTTTAATATTAATGATGGCTTTAATGTGCTCTCTTCTCAGCTTGAATTTGGTCCTTAAAGTTTTTTTTCCTTGGAAAAGCTAAAATCTATAAAGCAACCACAATTTGATTGCTGGATTACCAATTTCTGAGGTTTTTCCTTTAATTCTCTAATCAATAAGCTGGTGACATAAACTAAGTGAAAAACTCTCAAATATGGTCAGCTGAGTCGAAGTTAAATGAAATTTTGCATCGATTAAAGAATCTGCCAGAGGGCCAAGCCACAAGACAGGGATCAGGGGTCAAAGCAGACAAAGCTCGAGTTCTCCAGAGTGCGGAGTTTGAGTATGCTTCATGCACTCAAAACTAATGCCCTAATGAATGGTGATGGCTCTGAAAGGCTCTTCGTCTGCCACTTTCAACTCTCTATACACACACACACACACACTACCATACACACACACACACACACACAATGGCTATCGATTTCTGGGTAAGAGCGATAATAAAACCATTGGCATAGCCGCTTCAACAGGCCGCCTTCACGTTGTACGTGTCTGTCATTTTGAATTACAAGACGCGTCTAAATGTAAAGCGGTCATGTCGAACCATGGGGCGTATGAGTAACGCCCTCGGAAATTGCTGTGCTTTGCATTCGTTTGGTGCGACCGCTACTCCCAAACTGCCAACTTGTAGCATAATTGTGCGTCGTTAAGTTTATTATGAAGTGCCATCGTACACATACATAAAGAGAGACACTCGCATGAATGGCGGAGCACTTTAAGTCAAGCAATTGGAAACTAAATTGGAATTTTTATGACAGGCATGGAGAGGGAGAGACTAAGGATTCAGGACTTTGTCCATCGGCCACGGCATCTACATCGACATCCATATCCCTATGCTGACACAATGCCAGCCAACGGGCTTACATGGCGTATGCGCATTGTGTGTGAGCATTTGACCGACAACAGCTAACCATTTCCCTTCACAGCCCTCCCCCGAAACCCCTCCTCACACACACATAAATACACTTATAATGCGTTTTGCATTTGTTAAATTTCCCCCAGGCCCCGTTCTGGGTGTTTGGCTCTTTCGACATATTATGCGTCGACATGGCCGAAATTCACGCCTCACTTGGCCTGCCTTTTGGCCTTTCTGCCTTTCGGCCATTGCTGTCCAGTCATCCATTCACTGTCTAGAATGACTTAATGAATGCCCAAAACGTCGATGCATGTATATTTAATGCCAAAAGGAATTAGTGGCAGACAATGGCACAGATTTGCATTATCAAATTGGTTTTTTTACAAGCTGTTCTGGGATGAAAGTATTTAGTATTGGGTTTAATAATTGCACTTCAGTTAAGTACGAGCTAGTACTGGGTAATTAAATTTCGAAGGAAATACATTGCCTTTTGCTATCTTTAACTATTTGCTATCTATGTACTTCTATTACTTTTTAATTCATAAAGTTATTTCATAACCTTTGCTGCTTTGTGACTCAAAGTCCGACTTTATATTGCATATGTTAACTCCTCAACGTGACTTCCTTAGCTACATTTAATTACATCTTTTAGATATTAAAAACAAAACAGTTTCTAAGGCTCTTCAAAAGTGATTGCCTGAATTTCATTTCATTAGGCTACTCTCTTTGATTCAGGGGAAATGAAAGAACAAGCCATGAATGCCTGGTTTTTTCTGCGGTCTCGACAACTCCCTGTGGATAGATGTTTGCTGACTTGACTTTTCTATTTGGCCGCCTGCAGCGAGTGCCACGCCTCTCTGCTACCTCCCATCCCTCTGAAGGCCCCTCGTGAGTGGCTTTTGATATAACACATAATAACAATATATTTGAGGGTGTGTTTATGGTCATATGCAGAAACTGTTGCCTGTTGTGGCAACTTTTGTTGCCGTTGTGTTGCTGTTTCTGCTGTTATTTGCCTCTTGGCCATTGGCACATTCACAAACACTCTTGGCCCAATCTGCTTTTTGGTTTTAGTATGTTTGTTTGTGTGTGTGTGTGTGTGGATGTGTCTATGTTTGCTTTTTGTGTGCTAGCTTGTGGTTGAGGAGCTTTGCTCGTTCGAATGTGGTTAGCATAACCATCAAATTGCATTGCAGCTGCACTGCCAGCTTCTCGATTATTTAAGCCAAGTTTTCGAACAGCTAATCTGCACTCTGTTTGGGGCAGTTCATTAAACTGGGTTTCGCAATTTCGCAATTCAACAAAAATGAAATTAGCAACAAATCAAACTTCCATTGAAGGGCAAAAGTTTTCTGTGGTCCGAAAATTGGCTGCAATTTTAAACTTAATTAGCTGGGTGTTCTCGGGTTCCCTTCGAGTCACTCATGTTGGAGCTGTGAAGGATGCATTGCAGAAATCCGAAGCGAAACCGAAGGACATGGATCAAGTGTCACTCCGAGTAGGGCCATCAACTTCATCTCCATCTCCATGGCCATCGTTGTTTTCATCTCTCGTCATTCCCCGACACACAATTTGGTTTTATTAACTCAAGAAAGCCGAGTCAAGGAGCACAGCGATGAAATGAACTGCTTTGTTCCCCAGATGGCGCCTGGAAATTGCTTTACCACGCGGGAAAGTTAAAAAAAAACGAAGAAACACCACTCCAACTTCCCGCATTAATCAAGACTCCAAGTGCCTGGTTTTTGTATTTTGCATAATTTTATTATGTTTTATTTGTTCAGTTTTTCTCATGATGGTTTTCTCTGTTTTTTGTGTTTTTTTTTTTTTTTTTTGGTAATTTTCGTTACATTTAACTACACAGACTTAGGGGCTAGAAATTATTTCTGCAGCTGCACAAATCGATATTTACACACAATCATTGGAAGCTTTCCACAATTTTCTCAGTAAGTTGCCAATGTTTTTCTTTTCACTTATTTTTCTTTTTTTTTTTGTGTTTGCACATTGCTAAGACAGTTAAAAGTTATGTCCACTAATTAAAAATTGCTAAGTATTCCTTAAGTTAGACAATTAGTTTATTTTGATTACTATGTTCGCTTATCGTTTTCTGTTTTTTGGTTTTCCACTTTTTGATTAACAACTTCCTGGCCAAAAATGCTGCAATTCTTATAAACTTTAGCTTACTCTGCAATCTCCTAAATTTGTTTGCACATCCTGCAAATAACCGTTTGCCATTTTCTTAAACGTAATAGTTTATTTATGTAATTTAGTTTTAACAAATAATTTATTTACAGCTTAATTCTGAGAGTTTCGTCGAAGAGCAGTTTCTCGAGTAAAACCGAAATTCCTTTAGCTAAATCCATTTTAATCAGTTAAGTGGTTGTCTGTACAATGCAGCATAAATCAGAGCCAAATGATTGAGTGTGTCTGAAAGTAAGTTCTTAATCATAGACTGGGACTTGTAAAAATATGAATTCTAGATTGGAAATGCATGTCAGTTCTTAATATTGAGCTTTTGCTGGCATTTTCAGGATCGAAAACTACGATTTTACTGGGCTTACTTTTGAGATCCTTGAAATGTCATCAAATATATATATGCCTGGCTCTCTCTCTCTCTCTTTCTCTCTCTCTTTGCACTTTTCTTCCTTTTTGGTAGTTAGTAGTCTGCAAAGTTATCCTTTATATATAATACATGTGCGGCATAGGCTGCATCCTGTGGCTAAGTATGACACTTACACATTAACGAAACACACACACACGGACACACGGATACATATAAAAGGAGAGTGTTGTATACCTTACTTTACATGCACACCTTGCTATGTATGTAGAGAGAGTTAGAGTTCTTAAGTTTGATTCGCTTTTGTCTGATAGTTTTGGCTTTAGGTGTATGGTATATAGTACGTATGTATGTTGGTTTTGGGAGCAAGTTAGTTAGTTAAAGAAGTAACTAATTTAAGATTAGGGGCTCCTTTTTGAGTGGGTGGCGTCTCTGGCTGACTGGCTGACTAACCAGCTGACTAACCAGCTTCGAGCTTCTCCAGCTGATGAACATAGTTACAAATGCTATCCTCGGGGAGATGTGCTGTCCCTGCTACTCCATTTAAGCCATCTACACGATCTTCATATATACACTCGTGTGGAATATCCGATAGCCGCTGGCAATGATTATCATAATCATATGCAGCTGGGACTGCATTGTCTTCGTGGAGCCGCCCACATGTCCGTGATACATGGCTGCCGGATTGTCGCCTGCAGGAAAGAAATCCGGAGAATATGAAAATGAAATTTGCACAAAAATTTAATTAAAAAAACACACACACACACACACACTAACACTCATGCACATGTTTCAAAGAGAGAAAATAAGTGTGAGTTTAACCAACAAAATGCTAATGAGCGTCGTCGCTTCATCGCGCCAGAAACTTATAAATTATGACTGGCACTAACTACGTGGGCACTCTTTTGTGTTTGTGTTAGCCTGTGTACTCCGTCTCTCCTTCTCTTTCTCTTTAGCCATTTATCCCATCTCTTTCTACCACTGTCGCCGTGTTTATGGCCTGGCTTTAATGGCAGTTTGCCTGCCAAATGGTTGGCTCTGCAACGCCGTGCGCGGGCATTTTTAATCCACATGCTTGCGGCCGTGTAATTTTCATAAATTACTTTTATTGTTTTCCCTCTTAGCCAACAGAACTGAACGGAATGGAATGAAACACCAGGACCAGAGCCACACGTCTGATATATGAACTGCAAAAGAGCTACCGGATACAGAAGCTGATACAGGATGCTGATACAGATACAAATACAGCTGTACGAGCTGTACGAGATACAGATGTACAAGAACTACAGATACTCAAATGAGCAGTCCTTTGTTTATTCAAAGTTTTAATTTCATTTGGCGGACATAATTGAAATTTCTCTGCCACAGAGCGCGGCTTAACTCGCTTGTGCACGGCCAGAAAGAAGGGCTTATTTTTTAATTCCGCAGTTCATTGTATTCATATTTATGGTATCCTTAACAGATGGTTGTTAAATCAGAATGTTTTCGGGGAATTTCAAATTTAATAACTCAAAAAAAAATGTGAAAAAAGTGTTTTGGGGAATTTTAGAGGAAGGTTGTTAGATAAAATATCAAATTAATTAGGTTTTTTCTTTTCGTGACTCAAAATAACTCTTCATAAACTTTATCCTGTTGTAGTTAGGAACTCTGTTCGTGCAACTCACCTTTGAAGATGTGCACCAGAACGCTGGCCGGTTGCGTGTTGCTGGCGACGCATGTGAAATTTCCCGAGTGTTCGCGTCGTGTCCGCTGAATGGTAAGCTCCGATGATTGAAAGTCTGCAATGGACAGCAGTCGATAATGGGTTAAGACCAGTGAAATGTGGGGCCAAGAAATTGTGGGGTTACGGCTCACCTGGCTCCGTTGACACATTAATGCCCCGATCAATGTCATAGTTAATCATGCGGTTGTCGTGATACCAGAATATATACTCCGAGGCCTCGGTATTCTGCACCACGCGGCATTGCAGGCGCAGCGTTGATCCTGGTGTTAAATATCGTATCGGAGGGCCCGTGATCTCGGCGCGGGCTTCTAACCAATCGATATCGAGGTTTTGGGGGAAAAGATAAAAATAACAATCGATAAGTTTTACTTAGCTTACAGACAGAACTAACTATCTAGGTGAAAGTTCAAGTAAATAAACTACTCTTTCAAACCAGAAACTTGCAACTCCCCAGAAGGGAAATTCGATTAAATAATATACTTAAAATCTAATAAACAAATCCTATATTTAGATTCCCAGATCAAAGGTTATCTAGCCGCTTCCCCGGGGGTCAAATCAAGTCAAAGTCAAATCCTTTATTATCATCTAACTAAATCGGTTAGCCTCCTTTCTACGACAGTTATCAATTTCCCTCAGAGCCCGCCGAAAGTGGCCCACAAATTTATGAAATACATCTGGCAGACAGCCCAGACTCACTTTGCTAAAAGGGGAAAATGTGTAGCTGGGCTGTCACATCAGTTACCATGTACGAGTATATGTGGGCCATGGCGAGAGAGTGGCTTTGTTTTTTGGGGTAACTGCCAAGATGAAGAAGCAAGAGGCTGAAAAGGCCATTAGGCGCAGCACATTCAAAGTAAATTGTTTGTTAAATTCAGAATAATGTGCGTCAGTTAGCCAAGGACAGCGCGATGAGTTGAGAACTTGCTGAGTCGTTGCCATTTGCCCTGAAACCGAGCTGGGAACATGAGAACTCCATCCCTTAACTTAACCTCTTTTGACCCCCCTCCCCCTTGTTGCAACCCGAAAATCCATTTGAAAACCCTTTCCACCTTTGGCATATGGACATTTCTAATTTCAGCTTGAGCGCATCCAGAACGTAACGAAATTGTGGCAAAAACTAACCGGGCTCAGAGTCTCATTCAGTAGACTTTTCACCGGCATTTGTTTACTCTGAGGAAAAAGTGGGGGGTGGGGAGAAAACCCATCAAGGCGTGAAATTATAGAAAATCACCAGTGCCCAGACCGAATCACAAATAGAAATAGAAACCAAAGCAATAGAATAGACCGAAAATCGGAGCCGTAACTGAGGCAATTCCGGCCTCTACTTACCGACGACACTCAGGTGCAGGAAAATCGAGGTGGGCGGATGAGTGGACACCTGGCACTCGTAGACACCGGCATCACGTAGCTGCACGAATTTGATTTGCAGTGTCCAATCCTGCTGGCATACGAGAAAAAAAGAGAGCAAGAAAAAACAGCCCAGAAAAATGGTTTGAATTAAAGACCATCGGAGACATTGGCCCATTCCCCCCGACCTGGAAGTCAATTTGCTGCCCTGCAGTTGCGAAAATATTTTGCAATATTCCGCACTGAATTTCTGTCACGTATCGCCTATTCGAGGCCGACCACTGCAAAAGTTCACAATGCAGCAAATATTCACCGGGCGGCATAGCGATGGAAAGATGGAGAATGCACTGGCAAAATGGATTATTAGTTAACTTCGGGAAATTTTTAATACATTCCAAAAGTCGGAATTGCTAATTGTAGCCCAAGAAATTTAATAAGGTTATCAAGAAAAATCTATAAAAAATCGTTGACTTTACTTTGTTATTTTTGATTATTAGAAATTTTCGCCCTTTTTAGGCTTATAAATTAAGCTACTTTTATGAAATGGCTTAAAATATTATTAATTTAAATATTTAGCTTACAAACTATCTCTATATTAAGCTTGACTCTACAAAGTATCTGACTATATTTTACGTCTTTAATATTTCCATTGATTTATGCACATCCTTCCAAGGTGAAAGTAGCCCAAAAAGGGGTTTAAAGTTACTCAACAAGTTTCGTGATATCTTTTAGACACACTTTTCCCCGAGTGTTGGGCATATAATTTCGTATGCAGGTCTCCGATCCGATGCAATCAGCCCAACCTCCGCTTTCGCCAACCTTGCCCATCAGCAATGCAAATTACTTTGCGAAAGGACTCACCTCGGAATGCTTCAAGTGCGTGGCACTGAACCGCTCATCGCTGCTGTACGTTGTTAAGCCGACCGTAAGCAGATGATAATCCTTTTTGCGTATCCACGATACCTAAAAATAAATGGTTAGAAGCGGAGGGGTTAGTAAGGTTGTGTTCAGTAAGGGGAGTCGCTGCCATTAGCCAAATACAATGGGATTCGTTTGCTTCAAGGACTTCCCTTTTTTTTGGGAGGGAGGTAGCCTAGAATATTTAACATATGCCTGGTCCGAAGATGGGTCCGAACTTTCCCTCTCTCTCTCACTCACGTTCTGTCTTGTTCAAATGTTTGCCAATCCATCAAGATGGGACTAGGACGATGACAACGACTTGATGATGATGCAATTTTCAAAAGGCACACACACACATACACACACAGATACAAAACGGTTTTTGGGATAGAAAAAAAAATCAAAAAGCAATTACGTGTAAGAATTACGAGAAGAGCAACAATAAACATAATAGCAGATTGATTGATCCTAGGTTCAAAGTTCAAATTGGCTACCTAACTGTAAATAGACAAACAAACAAACAAATGGGCGGGGCACCACCTACAACGCCCCATCTCAACAAATGGAGGGCGTGTCCTCGGCATCGCCCTCGTCCTTTTTGCACTTCATTCCCTTCCCTCTCCCTTTGGCTGAGTGTGTGTCTGAATGTGACTTTAGCTAATCTTAAATGACCATTAATCATTTCGTCATCTACTTTTTGCGCCATTTTTCCAGCGGATGATGTAGGCACGCACACGAACACTGAGAGAAAAAGGAGTTGAGAATATTAATGAAATATCAAAGACTTCTGACTTTCTTTTGCTGACTCTAAGCATCCGTAATATTATATAACAGAAAAGTTACAGAAAGTTTATCTCAATGGTAGCCCATTTTCTCTCTCTGCACAAATTCTAGCAACACATCTATTAGCTGTCCATATGGGGTTATTGCCTGAAGAAGATGATGATTTTGGTGCTCCTGCAGAAAGGATCAGGCCGAAGCACCTAAGCGCGTGTATCAATCAATTTTCAATTGATAAGGATTTTATTTATTGGCCAACAAAAAATAAAGAATAACGAAGTAAAAAGCAAGACCAAGCAGTTACTTTCAACTTTCTTGAGAGGGTTTTTCTTTCCAAATATTGACACACGCGCGCGCGCTACAAACTCAAAGTGCCACAAATACGAACAAAAATACACACACACAAACATACTCTGGAGAGAGCCAGCAAACTTGAAATTAAGTTGAACGGCAGAGAAATTGTTAAATCAGCTGCGTTTGCCAATAAAAACGAATTACATTCTCCGTGCTTAAATGTTTAATGCGGCGTATACGCAATGTGGCGCAGCAGTAGCAGTAGCAGTGGCAGCCACAGCAGTAACAGCATCAGAATCAGCAGAGGATGGAAAATGGCGCGAGTCGAGGGATTTCCAAGCGCTTCAGCTCCTCCAACTCCTCCTCCTAAATATCATAATCCATGTCGAGTCCCCGGCGAAGTTATTTCAGCTTAGGAAATCCATTCGTAATATTCCTGCACTTTTGCCCGGCTGTCCAAGCAAAAAGAAAACAATATTTCAATGTTTGGGGAAATTTGCAATTGAATGGCAAGCAGTCGTTTATTATCAAGATCCTGCCCGGCATATGCTAGCAAAATCTTTCCATATATCTATTCAATACAATCTGTAACAGTAAAATCCGAGTGTGAGGCATAAATTGCGCATAAATTCCGTTTTGGCCCGCAGCTCCTAGACGACGCCAACCGACGACACACATCTATATCTATATCTCCACATATATATATATATCCTTTTTTAGGATTTTTACGATATTTATGATGGCAAAAGGGACTGCGACTGCGAGTGCTACGTGTCTGCAAATAAACCATGCAGCTAGCCAGAAGAAAAACAGAAGAGTCGAGCAGCTGTACGAGGTGGAGTAAAAAAAGAAGATGTGGATGTGGAAAAGCGGAATGCCTGTGGGAGTGGCAAAGGGTGCCAAGTGAAGCCATCAGGGGGGGTAAAATGTGGCGGCAATTAATCAAAAGCCTGCGAATTCCTTTCCCTTTTGGCAACACTTTTTATGTGACTGCATGTGAGAGAAGCTGTGTGTATGCGTATCGCATAAATCTCAGCAGCCTGTCCTGCGTGTCCTTCGCATGCGTATGTGTTTTTGTGTGTGTGTGTGTGCATTGTTGTTGGCATCTCCTCACCGAATCCTCGGAATCCTGCGAGTCCTGCGGCTCCTGCGGCTGCAGCTGCGGGCACGCAGATAATTGTTTACATTTTACCTTTTTTTTTTCTTTTACCAGCTGTATGCAAAATAAAAGTGACGCTTAATTTATGGCCAAAAGCTACAGCGCACACACCACAAATCACTTGTTAGCAAATTTATGGCAAATTTATGCTAACTACTTGTCTGCCACGTTGTACCGCCAACAGTTCCCCAAAGGTAGGCCATCCGCACTACACTCGCGGGCAATACAATAATGTAACAGTTTAGCAAAAGAAATAAATCAAAAGCGTTGAAAGGTTCTTACAGATATTGATCCTAAATTATATACACATGAATAGCTAACAATCTGAAATAAACATAATTTTAAATCATTTTAAATATTTTAAAAAACCAAAGCAAGTTCTACCATTTTGCCAGCTGTATTTGTAGATTTTTCCAATGTACAAAATGTCGACTTATCGCGGGATCTCGATCTCTGACAGCTGGCCCCATATGCAGGATTTCTGGGCAGTTGGACGAGCGAGGGTGAAGCTATATGTATATAGCCGAAGGGGCTTCGATTTCGATGGGTTCGGATGATTGGGTAATTGCATGGCTTGGTGGCTAAATCTATGCAGAAGCCGATTGCATCGAAGTTTGTATTTACTTTACTTTTTACCCCTCGCTGGGCATCGTCCGATGAAAACTTTTGATTGGCTTTTGTTCTGCTCGATGTTGCATGTTGCTGCTGTTGTTTTTTTATTTGTTTTTTTTTTTTTTTTGTTGTTGCCTGCTATTGACGCACATTTTTGTGTGCTTTATGTGCCGCTGTCCAACCAATTTCCGCTCTGCCACAATCCCAGCGGGCAACTACCATGTACAAAAACAAAAGGAAAAAAGCAGCAAACAACAGCCAGAACTTTTTTCAATGTGAAAAAGTTTTTAACAAGCGATTTTAATAAAATTCTATTTAGAAACTGCAGCGGCAACAGCAGCCATTTCGGTGGCAACTTGTCCCAACCGAGCAAATGAATGTCTGTGTTTATTTTCATATGCGGCTGTAGTTTGGTACTCAGCTCTGCAGGAGGGAGTTTGGCAGGTGGGTAGAATGGTCGGGGGAAATCAGCTTAACATTTTACAAAATTTGATTGCTGATGCAGGAATTTGAAATAGATATATTTTATATAAATACGTTCTCTAGTTTATAAACAAAAATCTAGCAAGCTGTTTACAACTTTATTAAAATAATAAACATACAGCTTTACCATTTTTATTTATTTTATTTAACATTTGTGGTTTTAATAATATTTTCCTATATAAATACAAAGCTATCACAATAAAAAAAAAAACATATTTACTTAAAGAATAATAAAAATTTACTAAATTAAATTCAGATAACACTCGTTTATTATCTAAAAAAACGGAAAACGGAAAGTTTTTCCTCAAAATCCTTTCAAACTCCTCCCTATCCCTAAACTGCACATGGGCCACCCTAAAAATCCTGCAGTTAAAAAGCAAAAAACTTTTCCCCAGAAAATACGCTCAATTTGGTGTCCTACTGTTTGCCTGACTAGCTAGCTGCCTGCAAATTTCATATACGAGTAAATATTTGAGTTGACAACTTTATTGTTCTGCCGGCAACTAAATTCACATTTTTTCCTCACAAATCGATTTGTAGGTTTCACCCTCCTCTTTTTTAGCTGAAACCATACATACGTAATTGAGAGCAATCGAAACTCAAATTGAGCTCGATTCAGCGGAAATGCGTATTAAGTGCAATTACTGCATAATTAACCAGTCACTCTGTGGAACTACTAATTGCAACTCACACTAAGTTGAGTTTATCGCTGCAAATTGAAAGTTGGAAAAGTGATTGAAATTTAGATGGCCAAGGTGTTGGAAGATGATGAACTCTTTTACCTAATAGGATTAACAGACTAGACAAGGAACTTGGCGGTTTTCCTTGTCATTCATTACTACTACTCATGCATTAAATAAACCCAAACAAAGGAAGGCGAATTCTATGCTAATATTTTCCACCAATATTTTTCACATTCCCACAACCTTGGGCTCGACAAACAATCAGCCATTACTTTTGATAAGAGCCGCAGGACAAACAAAGAAAGAAAGGAAAAAAAAACAAGTGGAAATGAAAATTACCATAGCCTACTTTTCAGCAGCTGTCAGCAGAGCGGTGGGTCCTGCGTGAAATGCGATTGTTTGCCCGGCATTCCCATTCACACTTAATGGCAGGGCATTATATTCGGGTCGCAGCCATTGATGATTGCATTGCAATTAAAATAATTAAGATTTTCGAGACAGTGTGAGCGTGTGGCAAAGGCAAATGCTTGACGCGGCAGTGAACTCTGACCTCCTCGTATACTCTCCCACTCTCTTAGTGTTTTTGTGTGTGTGGTAAGGCTTAATTGTTTTAGGTTGGGGTCAGACCCTCTCACCGCCTTTTGTCGTCAGGCCGAGAAAAGTTTATAGAAATGATGAAGCCATTCTGCATACTCACAAGATGCCCGAGCTTAAACAAAAAATATCTGGGTCAAATTTAGCCCTTTGTTCGGGACATTTGTTTTAATAAACATTGTGACAGGCAACAGCATAAGGATTACACAGCGAAAAATGACTAGAAAGAGCCATTTAACAAAATGCTTAATGCAAGAAAATGTGATTTTCATTATGTTTGGTATTTTATTAAAATATGAAGACCACTTTCGTTTTTATCATTTCCATTTGCATATTTTTTAATTTAATCAAATTTTTTTATCTGTACCACAACAGCAGGATCAACATCCAGAAAGGACCCTCCAAGTGGCCTGGCCTCCTTCATCAAGCTGTCGACCAGAATGTCTTATTAGCTGGCA